AGGCCCCTACCGTCAGTTCTGCTTTTTCGACGCTCGACCTTTCTTTTTGTTTCTGCAAACATTCGTCAGTGAAACCTTCATTTTCAGTTTTATACTTACCTACTATATTCCATCCGCGAGAATAAAATTATGTTAGAAAGTAAAAAAAAGTCGTATTTCAATATAAAAGTTATCTCACATCTTGATAACGATGAAAAGCACATTCAGGTAATTATACGCGAAGTGGAAACAGGAATAAATTTGACCCTCATGAATTCCATGTAAAAAATTGAATGTGTTATTAATGATACGTAAAAGCACTTTTGCGAATATACTTTGCCCTCATTTTTTTATTTTAACTCAAACACTTAATCAACCTTAAGAAATTAGATAAGGGATACAGGCGGCAAATGAAATAAGCATTACCAGACCTTATACATAGCATTTATTGTAAAGCTAGATATTTTCAATGACTGTTGTTAATAGATTTCGAGGATATCTAAGCAGTTCTTATTAGTTGTGAATGCGAAAGCATAAATGTCATCCTTCAACGTCCTTAGCTCGTCTGGGGTGTACTGGCGTGGACGGCCAGGTGTCGCTTCTGCCGAGGTTGCGGCCACCGGCGACATAGATGCCTCAGGCGTCGCCATGTTCCGCCGCGCCCAGAGAAGCAAAAGTGGATGCAGCTTCCCGCCCCCTTCCCTCCCCCCTCCCCCCTCCCCTCCGGCAACACCTGACACGAGCTGCCGAGCGTGCGCTCTCGTGAAGCGGCCGCGAATGGCTACCTAGGAGCCCTTTGGCACAGCCAATGGGAGAATGGGCATTTCTTTTATGTTCTTTCGTGGTTACATACGGCGGCGGCTCCACTCCATGGGATAGTTAACGCTTTCGCATTAAAAACTAAATTTTAGTTCAATAGGTAAATATAATTTCAGACTTCGACGTTTTATTTTGTATTGACAGTACACAAATCTGGTAGTTTCAAAAATCAATCGCTTGACAGTGTTGAATCGAATAACTGCATGTTATCAAGCTTCGGTACATGCATGTTGTGTATGCAGAAACCCACGCAAAGCGTCGAGGCAGAAGGGTTTCGGGGGTTCGCAGGACTTTGGATGCTCTGCAAGGAGTTGAAGAGTGTCTAGCCGAACCTGGACATTCTTGTGGCACATTCCCTGGTCGATGACGTTGCGCCGCAGTTCCAGGTCTCCGGCTTCAATGGGCGACCTGTCCAAAAGTAGGCACTTGAGAATGGCCGGCACAAAGTCACCCCTGCGTTCGGAGAGCTTCCCAAGCACAAACTGTGTCGTGCCCGGGTGAATGGTGATCAGGGCGGGGAGCACGTGCTGAAACAGGGGCACAGAGAGGTGCCTGAAGGGCTCCCGCATTGACTCGAGAAAAGGAGCGAGCCAGGCACGCTCAAACTCGGCAGCGGAGACTTCGCTCTTGTGCAGGAGCCGAGCTTCTGCACCAGGTCTTTTAGGTAAGAGCACATGGCCGGTTCTTCAGCCGCCGAGAGGAGTCCGCTGACTAACTGCGGCCTGAGCATCAGCAGGCGCTCGCAGCCCATGAGCTCGGCGATGTAACCCAGCGTGTCGTACTTGCCCTTCCGATGCCATGGGAGGTCCATCAGAAACAGCACCATTTCCGTCAGAAAAGGCACTGCTTCCGTCGCATCTCCGGAGAGAAGCACGTTCATGCTCACCACTCCCTTGAAGACGAGTCTCGTATGCTGGCTCACTGGGTCGATGTAATGCTCCCAGTAGGACCGGACGAATTCCAACAACGGGTCGGTAACCCGCGACCTTTCGACAAAACTCTACTGGAGGACTACCCAAATGTGTTCAAGCTTGGGTTAGGGAAGAGGACAGGTCCTCCGGTGCGGATTGAAGTGGAGGAGCAAGCCACACCCAAGTTCCACAAGTCGCGGCAAGTACCTTTCGCTCTTCTGCCGAAAGTGGACGAAGCCATCGAGAAGTTGGTGGAGCAAGGAATTTATGTTCCGGTCAACCATTCTCGTTGGGCGACGCCTATTGTTCCGTTTCTAAAGAAGAATGGAAAGATGAGGATTTGTGGAGACCACAAGGGAGCGCTCAACCCAGTCGTCAAGTGGGAGACTTACCCACTGCCCACTCCAAAGCAACTGCTCGCAAGACTGGGAGGTTGCTCGGTGTTTTCCCGGCTTGACTTGGATCAAGCTTACCAACAGCTCTGTGTCGACGAGGACACCGCCATGCTGCAGACCATGACTACACACAAGGGCCTGTTCAAGGTGACGCGATTGCAGTTTGGTGTGGCAGTGGCAGTAGCCATCTTCCAACGGTACATGGAAGGAGTACTAAACGGACTCGAAGGAGTTCAGTGTTTTCTGAATGACATCCTCATTGGTGGACGAACAGTCGCCGAGCACGACGAACGGTTGCGTAAGGTGCTGCAGCGTCTCCAAGACGATGGGCTTCGTCTGAATGCCGACAAGTGTGCATTCAGGGACAAGGAACTGACGTACCTGTATCATATGCTAGCGGGAGGATCACTGCGTGCACGCAGTGATCCTCCCGCTAGCATATGGTACAGTACCTGGGGTACCGTATCAACAAGGACGGAGTAAGCCCTTTGCTCCGGAACCAGTGAACAAGGAGGAGCTACAGTCGTTCTTGGGAGCCTTAAATTTCTATGGCCGTTTCCTGAAAGGAGCTTCACATGTGTTGGAGCCACTTTACCGCCTCCTGGACAAGGACAAGGCATGGATTTGGACAAAGACTGAAGCAAAGGCGTACCAGAGTGCCAAGAGCCTGCTGGAATGATCAGCCGTCTTAGCACACTATGATATGTCACGTCCCATAAGGCTGGCTTGTAACGCGTCTGCGTGCGGGCTGGGTGCTGTACTGAGCCAAGTGGGAGAAGACGGCGTTAAAAGACCAATGGCCTTTGCCTCAAGAACTTTGCCAAAAGCAGAACGTAACTATGCGCAGATAAACCGGGAGGCTCTGGCTTTGCTATTTGGTGTTCGGAAATTCCACCAGTACGCTTTTGGTCGGAAGTTTCAACTCTTGACAGACCATAAGCCGTTGCTGGGCCTCTTGCACCAGGCCAAACCTGTTCCTGCCATGTTGTCACCTCGGATGTTGCGCTGGAGTCTGCAACTTTCTGCATACAACTACGAACTGTTGTACGTATTTGGCTCCAAGCTGCGACATGCCGACGTTTTCAGTCGTCTTCCGCTTCCTGTCAAGAATGGGCACGAGCCACCATTGGGAGACATCTCGCTGCTGGAGGCAGCGCCGGAGGTTCCACTAGATTCTACCAAGATCGCAGCATTAACACGGGCTGACCCGGTTCTGTCGCGTGTGCAACGCTGGATTTTGCAAGGCTGGCCCTCAGGGAAGCTGCCAGAGGAATTCTGCCCCTTTGTGGCCAGGAAGAACGAACTGTCGAGCTACAGAAACTGTGTGCTCTGGGGATCTCGTGTTGTGATTCCAGAACCCGCACAGGCACAAGTCCTCGGGACCCTACGCACCACGCACGCTGGAGTAGTGCGGGTGAAAGCTCTTGCACGCAGCACAGTGTGGTGGCCGGGCATCGACAGTCACGTCGAACGCAAGGTAGCTGGCTGCCAAATGTGGCAAGAAACTCGACAAGCTCCCAGCAAGGCACCGGTGCACCCATGGGAGTTCACGAAGAACCCTTGGTCTCCTTTGCACATTAACTTTGCCGGTCCCTTCAAAGGGAAGGTTTTTCTGCTGGTCGTCGATTCGCATTCCAAGTGGTTGGAAGTTTCCTTGATGGAATCAGTGTCGGCCAGAGCACTACTCAAGGAACTTCGAGCGATATTAACGCGCTTTGGCATTCCCGAAGTTTTAGTGTCGGACAATGGAACTGCGTTCACGTCAGAAGAGTTTGCTGAGTTTGCAAACAAGAATCAGATCCGGCACATCACAGTCGCACTCTATCACCCGTCCTCCAATGGGCAGATTGAGAGGATGGTACGGGAAACAAAACAAGTGCTACGCAAGTTGTCTCAAGGAGATTGGGCAACAAAGCTCAAGGAGATAGGGCAACATGTTGTGCCCCCAGCACATCTTACCCAGTACAACTACGGGGAAGAGTCCGGCTGAACTTCTGATGGGGAGACGACTGCGATCTGCCATTTCATCCGGATGGATCTTCTCTGGAGCGTTACTTCCAAGACGGTTCTTAACGAGTTCGGGAATCCTGTCCCGGCGATACGGTGTATGCACGGAACTATCAAGGAAGCACCAAGTGTGTTCCCGGGTTCATCGCTTCAGTCACAGGACCCCTGTCGTACCAAGTTCGTCTGTCCGACGGTCGCGTTTGGCGAAGGCACTTGGATCAACTCCGCAACCGTGCCAGTCCACTAGACCTTGGTGAAGCTGCCAGTGACACTTGTGGTGACACGACCGATGGTGATCACTCCCCTGTGGTTGGCCAGGACCCACAACTACCGGGGGCGAATGAAGATTCTCCAAGTCCAAGTCTACCCGCCAGCCCCACCACCTCTCCTAGCCAATCTGCAACAACTTTAGCTTCTAGGTACCCCTAACGTGAGAGAAGACCCCCACAGCGTTACCAGGACTACGTTCCGTAGGGGGGAAGGGATGTTGTGTATGCAGCAGATCGGGCAACTGTGAGCGATGGCAGCGCCATTCTCCAGTAGGCGGACGTGGAAGGACTCACTGTTCGCCATTCCGTTTTCTACCTCTTCGACTCTTGTACGCGGCCAAAGTCGGCCTTGTAAATAAACCCGTGTTATGCATACCTAACAATTCATGATTTCGCTATGTTTAGATTTGGATGTATTCTGAGCACTACCAATTTTCAGTAGTAGGACTTTTCGATAAAAACACGGTTCATCCCACACAACCGGTAGGTTGAGAACATATCAGTTTGAGTTTTGAGCAGGGCATGTGAAATATCTCTAATATTAGATCTGGCCAATTTTATTAAGAAGACTGCTTGTTCAAGGTTGTGCACCATTGAAATCACTCTTAGAAGTATCTTACCAGTTCCACAGCTACATTCTTCTCCTTCACCTCAACCGCCGCCATTTTCTCTTTGTCATGGTACAGGTTACGTTCCATATATTTGCCGTTCATCTAAAAAAACACCCAACGCGAACTGAATGATGTATGACAAACTTTTGAGAAACGTTAAATGGTAAACAATTTAAGTTTTACAAAGATCTATTTTTCGCGAATTTCACGAATCGATTATGATTCGCGAAAAATAGGTCCCGCAAAGAACTCCAGTAAAATGTAAACACATTGGAATCTATATTCAGATCCCACCGCGTCGCCAAAATTAGAACCCGCGAATTATTTATTTTTTGTTCTTTCACCGTGTCACTCTCACGTACTTACTAATTCTACGCCGGAGCGCAAACACTGTCAGGTGTTTCGCGGGCAGAAAAATGAAAAGGACATCGTTTCATCCGTCATTTCGCTGACAAGCGCGCCTAATATCAAACAACAAAGTCGACGGCAGGGATGTTACACTGGCATACTATACTTCGTTTCAGCTTCGGTTCTAGCGCGGCAGATGTTATGAGCTGAAGGGCCAATCAAACAGCGTAAAAAGCGCAACGTCATGGCGTGCTCTCTGCGCTTGACTAGCCGGCGGAGGAGCGCGCACAGAGAGACGGCGAATACCGGCTGGTCCTATCAACTGCAGAGCACGCCATGACGTTGTGCCTCTTTCGCTGTTTGATTGGCCCTTCGGCTCATAACATCGGCCGCGCTCGGACCAAAGCTGAAACGAAGTATAGTCGAACATTGTAGAACACCAAACTGTTTTTGGTGGCGCCAAATATTGTCGTAGAAGATGGAACTGTTAGATGAAATGTGGTTTTAAAAAAAAAACACATTTCATCAATATAAAATTCATCAATACAAAGCAAAATATTTATTCGATTACATTTTGTAACAGTAAATTCTGAAGAAACAAATGTCTCAAAAGTTTGTTAAACAAAAGTAAATTACGCATTACTTCTCGTGAATTTTTTTCTTTTTTTAAAAATCTGAGTTGACACCTAAAAATACCAATTTTTATGCCCATAAACGCGAAAGTGTTTTTTTTATCATTTAATAACATCATGTCAAATAAGAAACACCAATCTATTGTTAAGTATGTGAAGTTTGCCTTCCCTAAAGTTTATCAGCACGTGTCACGGATCGTGAATCGCAACATGAAAGCTGAAGAACGGGGCATATGTTGATTATATGTTTTCCCGTATGAACGTAACTTTTTTTTTTAAACAGTCGTATGTTCATACTTGATGTAACGTTTTATAGCGTTTGCATCTTATACTAAAATGAAGCATGTAACGTTTTCAAGAAAATGACATTCCACGGATACAATAATAAAAAATGGGCTCTCCACGCGAACATAAATTACATAACTGCGCTAACACCTTCCGACAAAAAACGCGTTTGAGGTTATAAAATAAAATGTATGCTGTAAAATTTAAGCAAAATAATATTTCTAAACCAAGAAAACAATCCTCCCTATGTGTATGGTTGCACATTCCCGCAAACAAGCAAAGAACTTGAGCATTTTCAAGTTTCACAACACGCACCAAGAAACCCACAGAGCGCCGTCGGTCCTCATAGTTCGGCCTAATGTACGAACATTTAAGATTGCGCGGTTAAAGTTTGAACAAAATGCTTTTCGGCAAACGATTTAACGCCTACGAAGTTCCTTCTGATAGGCACAGCGGGCCGTTATTGATCTAAAATATATGTCATAAGGAAAAAACGGTTAAGTGCAGGTGAGCTGGTGTAAGTTATACATGAGGATTGAAACCGTTTTTTAAGCAACAGTCTCAGGTTTCAATCATCATGTATGCCATAAGAGGCGTTTTTTTTATCGTGGTATGCGATGCACTTTGAATATAAAGTATTTAGTAAATGCATGTAGCAACTTGTCATTCATGATAATGATTTACGAGGGACGTTTTGATGAAAATGCTTTGTTTTGCAAAAACATGCCTATTTCCGCAATTAGCTGGCACCTGTAATCGATGTGAAAGGAATTTTTGACAAGTGCCCCGAGGATTAAAATAAAACTGAAATAATAAACTTAGGGATGGACAGAACAGCACATATTTCGACTTTCAATGCAAACAGCTTTCTGTGTTGTAAGTCGAAAGATGTGAGGTCATGTTCGTCCCTACGTTTATTCTTTCAGTTTTATTTAATTTCACTGACGCGCTCCCGTCAAAATAAATACCCCGAGAACTTACTGCCCGATGTACAACTTCTTTAAATAAAGGATAATGGTTGTCACTACATCAGGCATTGCCGGATGATCAGTTTCTGCACAAATATAGCATACGCATATGAGAATATGTAAAATTCCTGAATTTACTGTAAACTGACAAAAATACATGGCTAGTGTTTCAGTTTACAATCAAGAAATGGGGCTCATTTCTCGTAGGTGATGCCATTTATATCTATGTATTTGCCGGGTTTTTCTGGCCGCTATTGTTTTTCTGCAGAGTTCCGAAAATCGCTTCGAACTTTGGAATCAAAGGTCTGTAAGCCTTGAAACTTTTTTCAGCTTGACTCAAAATCTGGTGCTACCTTTGGACAAAGACCGGGCGCTCATAGTTGCAGAGTTTATGTTTGGAGTGAGAAAGCACGGTTTTCGTTTGCATTGAGAAAACCGGTTTTAGCTTCCTCAGTACGTTTTTGATTTGTGAGTACCTCTAGGAGTCAGTTGCATATGTCGCCTCTGCTTAGTTTCACCTCATTTGTTATACATAACAAATGTGACCGCGATGTTCTTCTATATTTGAAATAAGTAAGCATTATTGTAGCTAGGTAGTTTTTGCATATTGTGTAAATTGCGAACGCTGTTCGAGCTTCCGTGGCAGTTGATAGAGAACACAAATTATACAGTACAGAAATAACTGGCACTACTGAGTGTTAACAGCAGTGGTTCTCAAATGGGGGTCTTCGGACCTTTTGGGGTCCGCGAAGGCATTCTATGGGTCCGCGAAGCCCTGCCTCAGCAGTTAAGCTCGGCACTAAAAGTTTTATCTCTTTTGAGATTGAGATGAAGCGTTCCAATTTTCGGGAGAGTTTTCTCGTCTGTATGTCAATTAGAAAATTCTACTTCATACTAAACATTAGTCATATCCATTTAATAAATCATTATCATAATTAACCTGCGCCTTTCCCTTTCCCTCGCCACGAACGGGGTGCTCCACCATCTCCGCCGATCCACAAGGGGTCCGCGAAACATCGTTGGTTGGGGAACCACTGCTTTACAGCAATGAGCTCTACAGGTGGCCTACAGGGTGCGGCTGTGATGACTAACACAATTGACCGGCCTTGCGAAATTCGGCTTCCAAACTTACAAACCTAAAATGGGCACGCGAAACAGGGTTTAAAGTCTGGGGGGTCTCAGGGGGTCTCAGACCCCCCACCGATTTTAACGGATGGTCTGGGCCCCTCCTCTACAGCCCCAGCATTAGTGAAATCATAATCATATCTTGCAATAAAATAGTTTGTTTTCAGGAATGTGGCATTTGAGAAATAGCAATTTGAGGGTTGCAGGCACAGCGTGAGCAGAGCCAGCAGTGGGGTTTATTTTATGTGCATCTAATAAATCTCGTCAGAACACCACCCCTCCTTCCCCCTTCCCCCCCCCCCCCCCCCCCACACACACACACACACAGACACCTTTCTTGTAGAGACCCTCCTCAACCTACGGGAGAGTTTAAGCACTGACCCGAACGCAGTTTCGGTTGGAGATTTACTACTTAAGGTCTGAGGTAGTGAAATATTAAAGATAAAACACTCGGAGCCCGCGCATTTTCCTTGTCCCATTCACGCCCATTTGTCATCTGCACACTGGTTTATGAGCTCGCATTCGAATGGCTTGCGAAGCGCGAAAACGCTAAAAACCAGGAGCAGAGCTGTATTGAGCAAAATAATCGGGGGGAATAATAATTTGAACAAAACATATGAGCAACGACCACCTGGGATTATGCTCCTAAACCACTGTGCAGAAGACGAAAATCTAGTGCAGGGCATAGTAAATTCAGGACCGCCGTTTTTGCTGTTTGTTTAATGTTTTAGCACATCTGGTTTCAGCTCTAAAAAAAATACGCATTGCACTTCTTGCGAAACTACGTTTGCGTACCCCAATTCAGGTTTGTATATATTTGGAATTTGAATTTTGCGAATAGTGTTGAATGTCTATGAGGAAACAGCTTGAAACTGAAAACTTAAAGACCAAATGTGATAGTGCTTAATGACGCAATATCTAAAAACGATATACGGGAAGTACTTGCGTACTCGGGAATCGAAGAATACTTCCGTACGTATTTTTTTAATTAACTGTTTTTTTTTTGTATCTAAATAAATCTAGTGACACGCGTTCCTTCTTGTTAGACAAACGGGGCATTAATCAAGATTACGGTCTTGTCAAAGATAACCCTGATTCTGAATCATTCACTGTATGTCACACAACACAAACTTAGGTGCATCAAGTATTTTTTTCATCGCTTAGAGCTGATGTACCCGAACATTAAAGTTAGATTAATATGGTTTATGATATGCATTTAATGGTGCTTTCTGAAGTACAGTTCATGAGAAGAATGCGGACACTATTCTAATTGCTAATGAGATGTTTAACCCTGATAGTGCAGTCCTATGCTTCGAACTTTTATATTTATCTGGTCTTTAGGGACTCTGCAGCCAAGAGATGTCAAAGTTGATGTAAAAATAAACATGATAATTTTTGTCCCGATTCTGAGCATTCTGGCGCCAAAACCAGAATGCTCAGTGCCCAAATTGGACCTCACTGCCTGGCCATTCAGTTGTTCACCCGTATATTTTGGCCTCAATCACCGAACAGGGACTAGAGTTAAGGCTCATTACTTGCGGTTTTGTATTCATCTGGCTGTTTGGCCTACGCATGTTACATTATCGCTCCTAAGGCAAACCAGTGAAAAGTCCATTTTTGGCTTTCCTCCGGTTAGGGAGGGCCAATGCAAAGTACCCATGCCCTGTCTGGCTTCTTGGAGCAAAACACAATTGGACCCAATTTATGTCCTTTGATATGCCAAACTTGAGTCAAGCTAGCTTTTTCCTTCCGCGCTGTTTGGGGCAGCGGAACGGGATGGGAAAAGGATGTCATAAAAGTAATTTAGGAGGGAATTTACAACAAATATTTTTAGAGCTATATTTACTACTCGAAACGAATATGTCGTAAGCGCCAGCGAGAGCTTGCGGAAAAGTGGCCGCTATAGTCACGTGACTGGCCGCTATAGTCACGTGGTGCTTGCGCTCTTTCGACAGCTTCGTATGAAATCTCAAAGTTAATTATTACACTTCGTTTGAAATGCAACAAAAGAACAAAAAAAAAACATATTTAGAGATCATAGGAAGCTCCCGAAAGATCGCAAGCACCACGTGATAGACCTGTGCGCAGGTCAGAAATTGACGGTGGCGGTGCGCCGCAGTGTACAGAGGCGTTCAGCCGGCGGTCCACAACTAAAGTGTGGCGGCGACGCCGGGGTTCCGGTGACTTCACCGGCGGCGCTGAACGACTCCGGCGTACAGCAGGGGACACATGACTCATGAGCAGTGAAAACGGGCACCAGCAGCTATGGCAACAGGTGCTGGCGTCACTACGTCACTGTAACGTGCGCACCTCGCGGCGTGGTGCCACTCCGATCTGGTCGGCCGGATGTTAGCGCGCGGTGCGCCTAGCCGCGAGCGCCGGAGAAGCAAATATGGCGGCCGCTTGTTTGATCGGTTCGTTCGGGCTTTGGTGCTGTGTGCGTCGCAAACTTTCTCGTGAGAACGGTCTAGTGGCCTGCGAAGTTATTTGCACTCCCAGGGGTGACACGGAAGGTCTTGTGAAATCCCCATCTCAACTAGCAACAGACGAACCTTCACGAACGACAACGACGGAGTCGAGAAGCGGCGGTTTGACTCCCAGTGAGATTGGTTTGGTGCTGGTGGCTTGAGTTGAAGGTGGGGAATCAGCGTGCCGGCATGGAACTGCCACAGCCGATGGAGGAGGCAACACAAGGGGTATAAAAAGGAATGCCTACACGATGCACTTTGTACAGGAAAGACCTCTTGCGTTGTCAGGTTTGTCGAGCCAGCCATTCGGTGCCGCCGGGAAACGAAGAAACGTCTTGTGTGGTTCAGGAGTTCTCTGCTGCGTGAGTACTTTGGAGTGCGTTGGTAGGTACTTATTCTCATGCATGATGTTTTTATGATGCTCGGGGATAACGCTTTGCAACTGTTCATTTGACTGTCACTGTCATAACACCTGATAATTATTGCGTTCGGTGTGACTTCCTTGGCTTAAAGTCAATGAAGCCTCTCCGTGTACTTTCAAACGAAAGCTCCAAGACTCTAATGAAAACTGGTCGTGTCTCATACAAGCGATTTGCGCTAGCCTTTTGTGTTCAATGTGGGCCTCTTCGGACCCCTGAATGCCTTCGTAGCGGCGTTCTGGGGTCCGTATACCTTCTGCGGTGTATTTTCTTCAAGACTGACCCGCCCTTCGCCTCCAGTTGTCTCAGCGAAGTGGGACACGTTGCCATCAATTTTGAAATATATGTTTATGCAGTCTACACAATTATCAATTAGAACGATTCCCGATTTTAATTTTTTTTTTAATTTGAAGTGTATCGGGTAAAAAACAAAAAGCAAACACGACGGTGGTAGCGCTGTGAACGTACATTTTGCGGTAATGTTTTCTTCGACATTATTGCTCTAATACTGATATAATGGTAGCACAACAACGTTTATGCCGTGTTTTTTTAATTTTTAATCTGAATACTTTAATTTACGTTTTGAGCATAAATAATGTGTTAGGGACGAAACTCCTTAGGGTCTAGCCTTGTCCGTTTGTCCGTTCGGACGGCGTCCGTGCTCACATAAAAAGAAAAAATGTTTGCGCCGTCGACAGGATTCAAACCTGTGCGGGGAGACCCGAATGGATTTCTAGTCCATCGCCTTAACCACTCGGCCACGACTACGGGATAAGTTGGGGGCTCTGAGATGTGGTAGTAACTCAAGAGCTGGGGAAGTCATGGATGAAATGTTGCATGTAGCCGCTCAACGTCTATACAGGAGAGGGCGCTGCGGTCAAGTGCGTATTTAATAGCGTTAAACTTTGCACGCATTGGCTCAAAGTTTATAGACTAGACGGCGCTGCGGTCAAGTGCTCAAATGCGTATATAACCACGTTCCATACCACACATTCTCTTTCTGACATGGACCGTTGAGTTAAGCGGGGGAGATGCGTTCCCACGACTTCGAGCGGATCCAAGCTGATCCGCTCGAATAACCACTGGCTCTGCATTTCACCGACCATAAAGCGGTAAAATTGAAGTCGAAACGCAACCCGGAACTCAGCACTACCTATGAGCAATAAAAAATAATCAGCACCATCAGCACTACAGATCAACAATAAAATCAGTATCATCATCACCACCAGAGCTTCGCCCCAATCAACATCATTCACCACGTGGAGACGAGGTCAATTTGTTTTAAACCGACGTACTGCCAGTCGCTCTACGATCGGTGACAATGGTGGCCCAGCAATTGTGTGCCGATCGCGCGACGGGCTTTTACGCGCATGGGTCCTGGGGACACATATATCCCCGTGTGTCGCCAGGTACTGCGCCATGCGTAGCGCCGCGCTACGTCCAGTTTCTCCGCTTATGTGTCCCATGGAAGGAAAAACAGCGATAAAAAGTTAAAAATGGTCGCCGCGCGGCAGCGCACTGCTGTATCCATAGCAACCGGTGCCGGCGTCCCTACGTAACTTTCGCGCGGCGCCGCGGCGCTCGGATCTGGTCGATACAGATAAAGCTGCTCGGTGCGCATGTGGTGCGCCTAGCGGCGAGCGGCGCGTGCTGCCCTGCGCCCAGTTTCAGCGCTCGTGTGCTCCATGCTTAACTTGAGGCGGCGGTGGCGCAGAGCGGCGGCGCACAGGTCTACCACGTGACTTGTGGCGGCTCCAGCGGGCGCCAACTACAAATTCCTTCGCGCTGTAAATATAGCTTTATACATTTTTTTGTTCGTTGTAAATTAAATGATTACATCCTTTTCCCATGCAGGCTGCTTAAAATTGTTTTCTCCTTTGCTTTTCTTCTATTGTTCTATTGCAGAGCATAAAATTAAGCATGCGTCTTCTTAAGCGCACTGTGTTACCTAAGCGAAGCGCGTGCAGTGCACCGCCTGCAAAGTGTGGTAATCCTTTTTTTAGACGTGCACTTATGATTGACAGCTCTATTTTATTTGTAGGGCATGTTTAATAGTAATGCTTACCGGAGTTACAACTGGCTCCTTGCCACTGAGGTCTGTTAGAACCAAGTTTTCCGAGAGAATTGAACTTTTTTCTAAGTGAAGTATTAGGCCTTCTTTAATGTGGATCACTTTTTCACTCGAAAGGCCTCTGGTTTCAAGAAGCTTTGGATAAGCAACTTCAAAGTATCGGGATTCACCTGTAAAAACATTAATAAAGCTGAACTTAATAGTCAAATACGAAACCTCTTTACGTCCTACAGCAATAGTGACATAAAGATTCCGGTGAATATATTTAATACATGGTATTCGGGTAACTCCGGGGCGCCATGAAATGTTGCAGGGGACACTTCCGCTACATCAAACGTATTTAAACACGTATTAATCCTGTCCGAAATGGTATGTATTTACAGGGTGTCTATGTAACTTGCACCAAACGTTACAAACAAAAACAAAAAACCGGAGAGTTCTGCGATAGTGAAATCAACGTATGTTGTTTGAATACGTTTTGTGAAAGTGCACGATTTTTCTTAGTGCGCCTAGTGTTTTAGTTAATTAAGACTATGTAATTATTTTCTTAAAATATTCATATGGGAGCCAAGGTGTGAATAGGAAAGTTCTAGAGCGCACAGAGAAATACCCAATCAAGGTTTTTCTCAGCTGCAATTGCTGCAATCTCGACGCGCACGCGCTTTGCGATTGCAGCGCTTTTAGACGTGCACCGAAAAAACGAAGACCCCCGTATAACTGCTGCTCTGTCCGAGACAGGGCTTCGTGTTAGCGTAGGCCCCGAGATCGGCGCATTGATTGTGCAAAGGTAGCGCGCGCTACTTCTCCCTACAATGACTGGCGCACGAAAGCCAACGTTGTTCTTCGCTCATCGTAGAAACTCATTGTCATGGGGAGGATCCAAGATCATTGCACAGCCGTAGTATTAAATAATTGTTTTAGCCCTCAGCGTAATACCGAGGGGAGATATAGCCTAGCTTATGGAAGGGCTTGGATGTCGTAGTTCAATTTCCGTCTTGCACGTCGCGCTTAAGCGCGTGTCTTCGTGCGAGTAATTTATTTGATTTGTGTCGTGTTGCTATCAACTTGTGCCAAGGTGTCCATTTGTTCTTCGACACGCCAACGATGCCTTTTTTGAATGAGCAAAAGGCGAATATGGTCCTTGCCTTGGGAGCGGAGGGGGGTTGTTAGAAAAAGGCTGCCAGGGTGCATCGAACATGGCACAGTAGGCCTCGACCAAACCCATCCACAATCATCAGAAACTACGATAAATTGAATCAGACTGGAAGCTTCAGGAAGAAGCGGCAGAGACCTCGTTTTTTAGCGAAGTCCTCCGCACAGAACTGTTGGCTTACATGGCAGCCCGTGCTCACGCTAGCGTGCGTGACGTGAGCGCTGAGGTAGCTGTACTAAAACCGTCCGTCTGCAGGATTCTGAAGGAATCTAAGCTTCACCCTCCCACGTTCAGCTGCATCAAAATTTGCATGCTAGTGACTTTAAAAGCAGTGTTGACTTCGCTAAACGAATTACGATCAAATTTGAAGAAGAACCAAACTTTTTCAAGAACGCGTGCTTTGGACAATTTGGAGCAAACTTTTCGCGAAACAACCAAGTAAACCTCCGCAACGCCCATTGCTGGAGCGAGAAAAATCCCCACTGGCTGGCGCAGTCGTGGCATCAGTACCAGTTGTCCCTTAACGTCCAGTGTGGGATCACCGACGGCAGCATCGCTTCTCTCGTCTTTTTGACCTGACGCCAACTGGAAACCCCCGTAAGAACGAGATCCTTGCAGGTGAGTGGATGATTTTTCCTGTAGTCTTCCATTGGCACACCTTCTGCACACTGTTTCAGCACGACGGTGTCGCCGCTCACAGCTGTAGCCAGCCTCGAGCCTGGGTCAACGGAGTCTTGCAGGAACAGTGTGTCGGGAAGTACGGGTCCGTGGCATTGCCTCCTACGTCACCGAACGTGACCCCCCTCGATATCTCCTTGTAGAGGTACGTGAATGACCGTGTCTACAGCACCAAGCCCACAGCGCCAAGCGCATTGAAGGTAACAATTACGTAAATTTGCAGCGATATTCCCGGGTGTATTTTTAAGAGTGCAACAGCGGACGTGTTAAAAAATATGTAAGTGCTACATTACTTCAGGTGGACATAAATTCAGGCACATTCTGTAGGCAGCCAACAGTGTTTAAGAAAAAACTGTTTTGAACCGTTGTCAGTTTAACGTTAAAACTGGAGACTCCTTCATGAAGCGGTCTTGATGCCATTATGACTAAATCTCGGCGTGAGGACGATGTCAACATCCAGGACGGCGCTTCTTCTTCGTCTTTCTAGTCAGGTGAGCCTTACATGTCGCATCGTTCAGGCGACGTTCAAAAAGTCTTTGAGCGAAAACACATCGACGACACGGAAACGACGAAAACACGCCCAAACTGTATAAAAACTGCGTCGTCACAGAGCGTGCTGTCTTGGGAGGTTCGCTATCACGTTAACATCGGCGCGTGGGCTTTCGCTTCCAAGTCGTCTTAGGGATAACATAATAAATAGTCCCCGTGACTTTTTCCGGTGAGACGCGTTGCGCTTCCGGTGAGACGCGTTGCCTCCAGTATGGTGGCTAGAAGGGGAAGTGTGACGGGCGCCGTATGCGCGCCATGTCAGAGAAAGGCGCGAGCTGCGATGAAAATCTTCGCCACCGCGAGGGGCGCTGCAGTCTGCAGGAGAGTCAGCGGTCTCGGGTGATCTGTTGGTTCGCGGGCGCCGGCGATCTTCTGAGGCTGCTACAAGCTCTGATGTTATGGCTGTTCTGCTGTTTTGTCTGTGAGTAATCATAACATACATTAGGCTCATAATAAATAAGTGTATTAAGATAAGCTCAAAGTAATCAAGAGTCGTCCTAATGCCATTTCGGTCTAATTCAAGTCCACTGGGTTAAAAGTAACTTAAAGAAATGAAAAGAGTAATAATAATGTCAACTCAGTTTATTATAGATCATTTGGAGGTTTAATAACGCGAAGTAATCGAACGAGTAACCAAAATGTCAATTAGGCCGAATTAAAGTTTATTTGGTCAATAGTAACTCAAAGTAATAAAAAGTAATTGCAATGTCAATTGAGCGAATAATAAATAATTTACAAAATATTAGCCTCAAAAATATAACAGTCATCGCAATATAAATGAGGCCGAATTAAGGTACCCTGGATCAAAAGTAACTCGAAGTAATCAAAAGACTAATAATAATGACTGACTGAGCTCACAACCGATAAATTGGCGCTATAACTACAGAAAGTAAACAAAAGTCACCAAATGTCACTTAGACCGATTAAAGTCAATTGAATTGGGAGTAACTCAAAGTAATCAAGAGTAATCATAATGTCAATATTAATCACATAAAAATTCAATTTGTTGAATATTAGCTGAAAGTAATGAACACTCATTACAATGACGTTTAATTCGAATTTATGGCCAATGGATCAAAAGTAGCTCGAAGTAATCAAAAGGGGAATAATAATGTCAACTGAGTTTAGAATAGATCAATGGGAGCAATAATAGCATGAAGTAATCAAAAGAGTAATCATAAAACTGCAGAAGCGTATGCACTTGAGCTAGTTGGTGACCCATGGTTTTGAGGGTAAAAGCGCTCAAAAAAACGTACAAGTAAACGAAACGAACAACATAGAGCGCTCCGCGTTACTCGTTTCTTTTACTTGTACGTTGTTTTCAGCGCTTTTACCCTCTCAAACGAGTAATCATAAATTGCAGTTGTGCTTATATCATCTGAATTGTATCAATGATAAGTCGAGTAATAAAAAAAATATTAAACAAAACGTCCATTCAACAAAATTTAAATTTGAGTGCGCCATAATAACTCCAGGTTACAAAAAGAGTAATAAACCTATCAATTACGCCTCGTCAAAAGTGAGACTAGAAACTCCAAGTAGTCACAATAGTGATCAAATGATCAGTTGTCCCCCAAAAGATCTAAGTGTATAAACAATTTTTCTAAATTACCAAATGTGTAAGCAAAACATGACCATTGAGGCAATTAGTGCATATACTATATATATTGTGGATTAAATTGACTGACTCCGGAATTAAAGTGGGTAGCGCAAGGATTAAATTGTGTGGCATTTGGATTAAATTCGGTGCTACTGGGATTAAATTGGACGTCGCTTGGATTAAAATCAGCGAGAAAATTTGTAGCTCAGTGTGTGGCATCTCCGGATCAAGCGGCAATCAAACATTTATCTGCATGCGCACTTTTCCTGGACATTTTTTGCTGACTTATTAAAATAAAATACTCGTCGCGCTTGCTAACGCCTGTCCATGCACTCTTCCGAGAAAGAAAAAAACTCTCAAAACAAAGGCTGCTTCAGAAGCAAGTAGTTTCTTCCTTTGCCTTGAATTCTTGACGCAATATCCGTAAGAGAAAATAAAAGTGAGTTCTACATTCTATGTCTTGTTCGTAACATTTTTTTCTGCTGCACTCTGAAGCATATGAGGTGTCCACGATTCATTAAGTTATCAAGTAAAAAAAAGTCAAATTTCCCCAGTAGAAAACATATATGCGACAGAGTGGACGTTCACCTGATCCAGCGTATTTGTTCTAAATGTAAATCAAAAATATTTTTTTTCTTTCTTTTTTATTGTGTAACAAGGCGTCAGTAGATTCAGCTCTCGAAGAAAACGTCTAGTTATTTCTTGTTTGCGTATTAATTATTTTACAGTATTCGTAACAAAGGGAAAATATCGCGCAGCGCTCCATTCCTATGCTCCGCACGCCAGCGCTAACTCGCCTGCTGCGCGCAGCGCCCTCTGTGATTTTCATCGCAGCTCTGTGCAGCCCTTCACTCCTGGCCGCCACACTTCCCCTTCCAGCCACCATACCTCCAGTGAACACGCTATCGCGGGTAGAACTCGCGCACGCTCTCTTTCTACCCTTTCCACATTGCGGCAGCAGGTGCTGAAGCACATGTTGGGGCCCACACAAACACGAACCCCTGTCTCGTACAGCGCGACAGTGATAAGGTGGGCTTCGTTTCTTCAGAGCGCGTATGAGAGCGCTGCAATCGCGACGCGCGGGCACCTTGTCACAAGGTCCCTTTTTTTTAATTTCGCGGGCTTTCTTTTTAGGTTAAGAAATACAAGCGCCCAATGTATATCATTTAGAGAAACACCCTCATTGAGTGTTCCTCAGTGGGCTCTACAGGTTTCCAAACCACACCTTGGCTCTTAAACGAGTAATTATAAATTAGCTAAATATTCCTAATAAACTCAAACACTAGTCGCACTAAAAAAATGTGGACTTTCCCAAAAAGTTTTTAACAACATATACAGTTAATTTAACACTCGCCAAGCGCTCCTTTTTTTTTGCAAAGTGTGGTCCAAGTTATCGGGGACACTTTTTATACACTCCGTAATTGAGAAAAAGGAAGACAAAAACGTTTGTTATGTGAATACACCGCACTATATATGTTGCACCTGCAGTCGGTGTGGTTTACACAATCTCTCTTTCCTGTGGATGTATCTATACAGACACTTTGCAGCAGCTGTGCATAGGCGCCGCCATAACCGACTTTCCGTGTTTCCTTTTACTTTTTGCGTTTGCTTCACTTCATCGTTACCACAGCAGAGAAGGTTATTGCCACGTTAGTTTCTCCTTTGCTGTCCTCCCAAACCTTGGCCTTTGCGAAGGCTCGTCCACGCCCGCTTCCATGGCTACGCATCTCCGTAAAACGAAAGAAGGTCAGCAATGGCGGCTGTCTTCTCTACAGGACAACCGGGCAGATGTGTTAACGACCGGGCTCGTAAGCACTCTCTTTTTTGACGGAGCGCTGCATCGGGACTCCTCGCTGTACATTGTAATGGATATGGTTGTATTCCGCAGTTATATAATATTGAAACACTGTCCAAATATCACAGAAAGACAGCTCGAGTAATTTAGGTTGCTTTTTGAACCTGTCTTCTGTGGAAGTGTAGAATTCTGGACGTGAGGTTTGTGCCGGTGTTGAATCAATTAACCCTTCTGGTGGTGACTTATCTCTTATTAATCAGACTGACACATTTTTGTGACCGTGACTGTAATAAAATAAATCTCTGTACAGTTTTTTTTTTTTAATTGTCCTTCTTTTTTGTGGAAATCTATTTTGTTCTGAAAGAAAACGACAGTTTTGTTAGTCAGGGCTGTATTTGTTTTTCTTCTCGTCCTTGTGTTCATTTTTGCTCTGTTTTTACTTCTTCGAACATGCACCGACTCGACCATCTTCGTCCCTTACTACAGTTCCTTTAAAAAAAATATTCTCGAGTTAAAATAAAACACCCCGAATATCAGGCGTGGAAAATTCTAATCAGTAAAAGCTTGCAGATTCCAATAGGAGTAGGCAAGAATGCTGCTCGCTTCAGTGATAAGGCTTTTCTCCTTGGCAAACATAATTAGGTGTTACTTAAACACGACCTCTAACCCTACAGAAATAGCAGGCTGGCGTCTTTATCTAGCTAACATAAACTAGCACCCGATTTATAAAAATTCTCGTATATTGCGTCTTTATTTTAGTAGACGAATCGATTAAAATGATTGAGTAAACTATATTTTTATTCGGGAACGATATGCACATGATAACGAAATTCTCAAAAATTAGTAACGAGAGGACCAGGAATCAGTAAGAAACTAAAATATAGACTACCGTATTCTGCCGTAATTGGGGTAAGGCTACGAAAGGCACAGATAGGACTATTTTTAGACAAGTATAGTGTCATAATATGAATAAATTTGAAAGATCCCAGATTCAAATTCTAGCTAATTTTATCCTAACACCTTGAGTGAACAATATGCCATAAACATATTTGTAAAGTACACAATTAGCCGGCCATTTTATTATCCTGCCATGAGCTGACCAGGGGAAAATTCTAGCGCAGACCCATTACAGGTTTCCAGGAAAACAAAATGTGCACGGTAGCTTTACTTAGTTTTACTAAATTTGCAATTTATGATGTTGGTGTTAGAGCTAGGCCTGTCGACTGCTTAGAAGTCTCCGTAGTATCACTAAAAAGGCTTAGCGTGTAATCAACAACACTTATTTTGTAAAATCTGTATGCGAGAAACAGTGTAAAAAAACTCTATATCCTTTCAACATTACTGAAGCGTAATAAAATTTTAGTGTCCTTCCATAAATGAAATAAAAACAGACACTTGGAAAACACGGAGTTCAAAGTGCAGCTAGAGATATTATGGACGTTGTAATTACTGTAAGAAACAATAGCGTTTCATCATCCGGTTATTGAAAATCGAGCTCACTTAATCGCTAACACCTTCTGGATAGGGAAACCGTAGAGCTGATATTTCTACGCCGCCCACCAAAAGCCGTCGCTGACCAGAGATAGAAACGATGATTGAACACGATTACCAGCTGAACGCCGACGCAGCCTTTCTGCCCAATCTGTTTTGCGCTGGCCATCAGTAAGTTATGAGGAAAAATCAGTACGACGACCATATTATCAGGAGTTGTTGACATCGTCTCATATTCACAGCTCGTCTTCATTGATTCGATTATCAAAAGTTCCTTTTTCGGTTGTGTCAATACTAGAAAAGTGGTACTTGCATCTTCGAATAGATTTTAAACAGCTTAGGTTTTAATATTATGCGCTCATTTGTTGAGTACATTCCAACATGCTATCTAGCACGCAAGCGTCCAATTACAAAAGTATCGTGTGAATATGTCTGACTAAGTTACGTCGAGCTAAAGCTGTGCATTGACGAACATTTGCGGGTCGTATGCTGTGCGACAAGTTACACCTTGGATAGGTTGGCAAGCCTCACAGAAATCACGGTTGTCCCGGTAACACACATTTGTTTCTTCATGTAAATATCCGCATTACTACGATATTGAACCTTAGATTACCAAAAGTGTCATACAATATTTAAAAACACTCCAAATGCTGTCTGTATAACAAAGTTTAGTACATTTTGTCATGGCGTATAATATTTTGTACTCAGTTCCAACAAGCTATTTGGGGCACAAAGCGCAATGGTGGTTCTGCAAAATTGCTTTGACAAATAGGGAAGCACGTGTATGCACTAGCATATATGATATTAGCTTAACTTAAAACTGTTCTAAATTAAGTGGTTTGTCAGGAACAAACCAATCAATTGTACTAAAAATTATACATACCTCTCGCAGTGGCATTTTGGATTAAAGCTTGCAAAGCGCATAGAAAAATATACTTCATCATTTTCTTCTCTACGAGGTGTTAGCTGTTTTACCATGAGCTTTTATAGAAAATGAACATCCTGGTAGTTCAATACATTGACCCCTTCAGTATTGACATTTTTATTTTCTGGTTCTAAAGGGCACTGGAAAATTAAGTGAAAGTGCTGAAAGAGCACAGAGTGCGTTCTGTAATGGTCAACTGCGGTTGTTGCGTTCTTGAAAGTCTTTTTACAATAGATTTGGATTTAGTTGACGCACTATAAGATATTTGCTTTAGAAGCGTTGATTTTGTAGTGTGGTTTCATTTGAAATCGAAGATGCGTGTCGAAGTGGGTGTTTTGATTCGCTTAAAAATATATATTTAGCCCCATTTCGCCTATAAATTAACCTACTCCGGTTATTTTTTTTTTTATTTCTTCACACATATTTTGGACTAAAGCTAGGTAAAACGCTTCGCTTAGGCCGTTTTTTTTTTTATTCAGTTCTGGCAGTTCTGATAAAAGGGTAAAATATATCACTCACAGTAATTATTCTTGTTATTATAAGTTGCATGGCTGTTTGACCAAACCGCTTTAGCGTATTTTTTGCCGAAAATGAAAAAGAAAAAAAAAAACATTTTTGGCCATTTGCTGCCAAATCTGGAGCCTTGAATCTTCGGATTCATTGTAAATTTTGCTTACTAAAAACCATATGCCTTTAGTCCTATACATATGCTATCGACAGTTACCATTTTAGTTCAATTTATTTAAGGAAATAATAGCTACACATTTTTATATTTTATCGAAAAGTTAATGCAGCCATAGTATGAGCCCATATTCAGTAAAAAATAACTCTTTTATTTCTGCGGGTAATCTTTTTGTGCAGGTAATCCAAATTACCCCTTTTTCATTGTATTTTAGTTCATGTTCCAAAACACACATTCAGCCGAATCGGCTGTAGGATAGTTTCGCAAGTTGGCTTTAGTGCAAGGCTTTTAGCCTTAGGGTGCTAAGGGAAGGGGTTCGGAAGTGTTTTAGAGGTGAAGGGGCCACAGACTGAGTGAGCTTAAACATGTCTTTTTTTTTATCCAATAATATCCTGCCTTGGCCGAGTTTTTTTGTTAAGCTTAAGGAACTACAAGGGTTGATTAGGTGATTAGATGAGGAGATGACTACCATATCTTATGTAATCCATCAATAAAATGAGAAATCCTTTCTCCCGTTGCGACGAGCCCATGGGTTGCAATGCGCCTACTCCTGCGTCCTTAGTTTGTCTGTTTTTTTTTAATTGTGATGGAGATCGGCCGACGTGCCCCTAATACCAGAGCACGTCTGCCCCTACTCCGGCGCTGTTCTGACGGCACTGGAAAACCATGTTTTTTAATGATGATGATGCTGATGATGGTGATCACAATGATGGTGATGATTATGATGATGGTTATCATTATTATTATTATTATTATTATTATTATTTTTATTATTATTATTATTATTCAAGTTAGGACACATGAATCGGGGTGCATATTTACGTATCTTTGTTTATCTCAGACTAGCATTTATATTATTTCTCTTCCACCATCGTGTTTGTATTTTTTTATGTGTTCTGTTCATTACCTTCCAAAGAGCGCTCGGACTCAATCCTAACGGTTGTTATAACCAGATGATATATTCGTACGGTAGACCTGTTGTTTTCGTTAGCACTGCAGACTCCTATCTGCTCCAGCTCCTTATAATCGAAGTTGTATAAAGTTTCAGCAATGTGTGAAGTTCATAGGTATGGTCGGGTCTCAATACGATGGCCGGCATAAAATAATATGTCAGAATAAGCGTTTTCTTATTATGAAACAACTCAACATGACTATACTAAGGTCAGCTTTGTAAAAGACTAATGGAAAACAGCTTTTGCTTTGTCTTCTTATCCTTCAGCGAGTACAGAAACAAAAATAAATTGATACAGCACACGTGTACACACGATGTTTGCTTTGAGCTGATCTTTATTCATTTTAGACGGAGTGAATAAAACGTTGTAATATCCATTTTCAATCTCAAAAATATCAGGTCGGTCTCCTAAATAGACCTTATCAACGATATTCTAATTACGAATTCCTTATAGCAATTCTTAATTATTTTCACGGCATGTTTAAGTGCGGAATCTAGATAAAGCAACCAGGATTATCCTTGTCCAGTTCTCGGCGGCTATGCTCATTATCTAAAGGCTAACCTTCCCCGTACTGTAAAAATGGCACACATTTTTCACACCAAAGTGGGTCTGCAGTTCTGTCCATTTCCACAGCAGGTGCTTTTATCATTCGCGGATTCATTGAGAATTACTGTAACGCTTACAGAAGTAAACATCAGGGCCCGTTTGCTCGAAGAACTAACCGCGGCTAAAGTTAGCCGCAGTACCTAGGAGAGGGATTTTGAAATCACGTGATTGGAGGGCCCGGTAGGGATGCGGGGAAACATGGCGGTGCCCCGGCGAGTGAGCGCTGCTCGCTTTAAAACTAATAGGGAGTTTTAGCGAGTCGTTTTTCAAGCACACGGTTCCGAAATCACGAACGGTACAGCTGGTCCGTTTCGTGAAACCGTATGTCAAATTTGACATACTTTAGCGAATCGTGAAAGTGGCGCGACCGTGTAAACGATGATGATGATCTTGCTTAACGGTGGCGCAATCTTCTAGTAAACATGTGAAACACTCTGCCTCTATCTGCCGGCCGATAGAGGCGCCCTAACGGAGCTGCGGATCGAACCGCCACCTACAGCGTCTTCCAAGGAGCGGCCGTCCCCGATGCATGGTGGAGCCTACGCCAGTGGCGGTTTGTGTTTCCGGCGTACGACTGATGTAAACAAGACGGCCGACGTAACATTTGCCGGTCGGAATTTCAAGAACTGCGAAGTTAGATAGAGTAAAAAGTGTCTGAACGACCGTAAAGGTATGTGGTGTGTCTCCGTTATCTTCAACTTGAACGATAGTTCACGTTGTGTGCCATCGAACCAAATCATTTCGTCTGCTCGCTGTCGTCATGGCAGCTAGTCTGCCCGCAGATCGCTAACATTTACTAGCATACGCAGTTTACAGCATTCACGATCGCTTACGATTGCGAGCAGTCCTCGAAACGATTTGGTTAAACCTCTCAAATGAAGCAGACTAACAGGACGGCAAATCGCCTCCCGCTGTCCCTAGGCCTAACGCTCGGCTGGGTCGGCGAAGGCGGTCGCCGAACCGACCGCCATCTTTTTTTTACCCGAGTCGTGAACGGTGCTGGCTGCGTTCCGGTGACGACTCCAGCGGCCGGAAAGGGAGAAACGAACGAGAAGAGCCCCTCGATTCCCTGAACGACTCGCGCGCGCATCCGTTCGAGGGCGAACCGTTCATGTGGAAACGACCTGCAATGTCGTAGCTGCAATATCGGGCGCGTTAGTCCGCAACGAATGGTGCAGGAGGCTTTCGCGTTGCCTTAACTCACCTAAATCGCAATGCATGAGCAATGACCTCACCGCATTTTTAGAGCGCAGCTCTTAGGGGCCCGTTTCCGGCTTGAGCGGCGTCGGCGTCGCCGTCGGCGTCGCCGTCGGCGTCGCCGTTGGCGTCGCCTTTGGCGTCGGCGTCGGCGTAACCGCGAGCTCACGTGACACCCCGAGGTCACGTGACCCCCCCGAGGTCACGTGACCCACCCAGGTCACGTGACACCCCTAGGTCACGTGACCCCCAGAAGTCACGTGACCCCCATAGGTCACGTGACCCCCAGAAGTCGTGACCCCCTAAGGTAACGTGACCCCCTGAAGTCACGTGACCCCCAAGGTCATGTGACCCTTCAGGTCACGTGAGCCCCTGAGGTCACGTGACCCATGAGGTCGCGTGACCTAAGGGGTCACGTGACCCCAGAGGTCACGTGACCCTCAGAAGTCACGTGACCCCCTTAGGTCACGTGACCCCCAGAAGTCACGTGACCGCCTTGAGGTCACGTGACCCCCTAAGGTCATGTGACCCCCAAAGGTCACGTGAACCCCTGAGGTCACGTGAACCCCTGAGGTCACGTGACCCCATGAGGTCACGTGACCCCCTGAAGTCACGTGACCTCAAGGAGTCACCTATCCCTCAGTACGCTTCCATCTTCCTCCTCAAGAGCTGCGCTCTAACCGGCGTTACAGGGAATTGTAAACGGCTTTCATTTTTTAGAAAGTCTTTCGATTCTGGCCATTCCTAAGCCTAAATGAACGCGATAATTGTCGGCATGGCAACGTCTTTGGAAAGTGGATTGTCTTGACTTAATCGGCGGGTATTGACAGCACACAAAAGCAGACAGAGACGGAACGTTATTTATGCACGAATGCTTCACAGATCATTGTTTCCGGGAGGAAGCAATGATTCACCGCAGAGCGCCCGCGACGGAAGCCGCAATGGATATTTGCAAAGAGATTTTCTTTTCCTTAAAGGTACATTAACCCTCTGTTATTCAGTCTCTCGTATGTTTTCCCCAGGCAGCTACTGAGTGCAGTGGGTCAGTGATCTGAAGGCAGTATAGTGTCTTTGCCGTGTTCCAGAAGTGGTATAATGCGAGCCTGCTTCCATGCCTGACGAAGGCATGCTTTTCCCTGAGCTAAAAAAAAAGGAGGAGGCTCGTGAGCGAGGGTTGTGACAACTTTCGAAGCATAGAATAGTGCAGTGCACCTCGCCCCGGTACAGACAACTTTATCTACATCGAAAGCTTGTTCTACTTCACACATTGTGAAGGGCCCATTTTATGGCTTTGAGTTAACAACTCCCCCCCCCCCCCCTCCACCAAAAAAAAACTTACGTAATAAAGCAGCTTGCCCGAAATTTAACTGGTTACATTCGGCACTATCAGAGCCACATAAACTAGGAAAATGCTGAGCAAGAAGATTAGCTGCATCTTTGATGCGCCCCAGAGGCAGATTAAATACCTATATGATAAAAACCCGATAGTCATCTTTGATTTTCCGTACAAGACTCCAAACCTTTTTACCCGTAACAAAGCTACTTATAGGGTAAATATATTTTAACCAAGATGTCATTTTT